GGCTTGCTCCTTGTTTTCAATTTCTTAAATCTCTTTCGAGCGGCTTGCTCCTTGTTCTGAAATTCTCTTAGTTCCTTTCGAGTGGTTTGCTCCTTGTTTTCAATTTCGCTAGTCTCTTTCGAGCGGTTTGCTCCTTGTGCTGAAATTCTCTAGTTCCTTTCGAGTGGCTTGCTCCTTGTTTTCAATTTCTCTAGTCTCTTTCGAACGGTTTTCTTCTTGTTCTGAAACTCCCTAGTTCCTTTCGAGTGGCTTGCTCCTTGTTTTCAATTTGTCTAGTCTGTTTCGAGCGGTTTGCTCCTTGTTCTGAAATTCTCTAGTTCCTTTCGAGTGGCTTGCTCCTTGTTTTCAATTTCTCTAGCTTCTTTCGAGCGGTTTGCTCCTTGTTCTGAAAATCTCTAGTTCCTGTCGAGTGGCTTGCTCCTTGTTTTCAATTTCTCTAGTCTCTTTCGAGCGGTTTGCTCTATGTTCTGACATTCACCATTTGCTTTCGAGTGGCTTTCTCTTTGTTTTCAGTTTCTCTAGTCTCTTTCGAGCGGTTTGCTCCTTGTTCTGAAGTTCTCTAGTTCCTTTCGAGTGGCTTGCTCCTTGTTTCCAATTTCTCTAGTCTCTTTCGAGCGGTTTGCTCCTTGTTCTGAAATGAAATTCTCTAGTTCCTGTCGAGCGCCTTGCTCCTTGTTTTCCATTTCTCAGTCTCTTTCGAGCGGTTTGCTCCTTGTTCTGAAATTCTCTAGTTCATTTCGAGCGGCTTGCGGCTTGTTTTAAATTTCTCCAGTCTCTCTCGAGCGGTTTGCTTTTTGATCTGAAATTCTCTAGTTCCTTTCGAATGGCTTGCTCTTTGTTTTTTCAATTCTCCAGTCTCTTTCGAACGGTTTGCTCCTTGTTCTGAAATTCTCTAGTTCCTGTCGAGCGCCTTGCTCCTTGTTTTCCATTTCTCAGTCTTTTGCGAGCGGTTTGCTCCTTGTTCTGAAATTCTCTAGTTCCTTTCGAGCGGCTTGCTCCTTGTTTTCAATTTCTCTAGTCTCTTTCGAGCGGTTTGCTCCTGGTTCTGAAGTCTCTTTCGAGCGGTTTGCTCCTTGTGCTGAAAATCTCTAGTTCCTTTCGAGTGGCCTGCTCCTGGATCTGAATTTCTCTGGTCTCTTTCGAACGGTTTTCTTCTTGTTCTGAAACTCCCTAGTTCCTTTCGAGTGGCTTGCTCCTTGTTTTCAATTTGTCTAGTCTGTTTCGAGCGGTTTGCTCCTTGTTCTGAAAATCTGTAGTCCGTTT